AGTAGTAGTAGTAGTAGTAGTAAGTAAGTAGTAGTAGTAGTAGTAGTAGTAGTAGTAGTAGTAGTGTAGTAGTAGTAGTAGTAGTATAGATAGATAGTAGTAGAGAGAGAGAGAGAGAGAGAGAGAGAGAGAGAGAGAGAAAGAGGGAGGGGTGGGGTTCATCCCCCTTATTAAGTACTATAATGTTATTTTGCAGATCATACTTAACATTGGCTAGGTCATTTTGTACATAACAAGTATTACCTTATTGTGTCACACATCATCCTTGTTACTATGTATCACTATGTAAAGTAGGGACTCAAGATCTTGAGTCTTCACATACTTCAGAGTAAGAAGTAGGATATGGCTAAACAGTTTCCACATCGTATCCCTCACTAGTACCCCTATCATATCGCATTTACACTAATACCTCAAGCATATAAAGGTCTACGTGCATCATAAACAAGACTACTGTAACATAGACATATATAGCAATAATTTCAAACCTGCATTTCTGTATGAGGGCCATGCATAAGAAGAACCAAGGAAATACTGGTTTTCAATATATATGAAATGCTGGGCAGATCTGATTGCCTTTACATATGCTGTGTGAATACTCTTGTCAATCACCAGGTTCTTTTCACAGACAAGATTCTACAAGAAAACAAATAAAATATTTGTCCAAACTAAATTTAGTACTGTAATGATATAGAGAATAGAACGAAAATAAGTGGCTGCTAACTTAGTGAAATGCAATGCAGCATAAAACCTCAAATGTGGCTAACGGAATTCTTGTTAAGAAAATTCATAGAACTACTCCAGACTGACCTGCGCCTCACACTCGTGAACATCGTTTGGAAAACCATGCACTGATCCTGAATCAATTGACCGGAAAACCTGACAAGGTATAGAAACCAGCTTACATTTGAAAGTGATTGTGAATGAAAGAATTTTAAGTAAAATAACCATTAGCTTTGTCCAACTAATCTAACCTGCACATGCCAGCATTCTGGATCCTCTTCCTTGGAAACCCATAAACTGGGATGTCCATTTGGAACAGATTTAGAGGGGCTAATAATCCAAGAGATACGCTCAAGCTTTATCAGAGTATCATCGTGCCAGTGAGATACTCTTTTAAAGCCTCGTCCGAATTCCCATCCTTTAGTCGCTTTTCTCCATCGTTGCTCAAAATTTGTGAGCACGTCATAAGCAGCTGGGCCATCTATTTTACAGTGAAGATCATGCCATGGCTGTCTTGGGCCTTTAACACCAACCTGAAAAAATAATGAAACAAAGTGTTATTACTCAATACGTAGAGCTCCATTACATATAAAAGAAGGGGTCATCTTTAAGATATTAATCAGCTTTCAAAGGGGAAAAGTGAATCATGATGTAAATAAATGAAGTCAGGGATGTGATGAAACTGCAGTCTCACAGATGAGCTTGAAGTACTTGGACAGAAGAGAAACACATACATGTGAAGCTGGAAAAATGGCTGTTTCAGCCGATATAAACCAGAGTATATCTGAGCAAGATATTAGTGCCATGAGAGAGAATTCAAATCATAGAAAAAATTAATGGAAGGCATCAATTATTGGACATTACGAATATTTAATGGTGATGTTAGGGTGCTCACACTATGGAGCAATTTATCATTGTACTCAAGAAATTTTGGTTACTTCCTATACCTTTGTTTTGTACATGTATCATATTTTTAAAGGGTATTTTTGATCATTAGGAGGGGTGTGACGTCATCCACATGGAGTATGACATCACCTATATGGAGCACACTAGTCGCATTTAATGCTCCATGTGGGTGATGTCACCCACATGAAGATGACATCACACCCCTCCTAATGACCAAAAATGCCCCTACTAAAAAAGCTCCATGTACAAAACAAGGGTATATAAGTATCTAAATTTTGTTGAGTACAACGATAAATTACTCCAGAGTGTGAGCACCCTAACATAACCCATATTTAATTCTCTGTATCTTTCTTTACATACAATAACTGCAATGATGATGATGATGGTTCTTTACATATCACATAAATTACAAAGGAGTGGGAATTATCATTTTAATAGCTTAAGGTCATAAGTTAATACATATCTAATAATTCTTGTGCACCTCATAACTGTGATCTTTACTTTGCATAAAATGCAGGCAGGAAAAGAACTTCAATGATATTAAAATTTTCCCTCATGGATTTCACCTTTATGACCACCAAGGGCCAGTTTGGATGTACCCAAAATTGGAATATTTTTGGATTACAATCCAAAAATCTTGTGAAGCCGACTTTAAAACGTTTGGATAACCGCATGATTTTGCCAGATTTTTAGATTGAAAGAAAAAATACTGTTGTGTCAAGGCAAAAGTTATCGTTCAAAAAAAACAAGTTAGACCTGAATTTTTTTGGATGAAAGTGTGGCTTTCTCTCACCGCGTGCAAACCCCACACCCAGCTTTCTTGCTATTTACCCATTATCCAACTCTCTTTCTCTCTATCTCTCTCTCTAATTGCAAACCAAAAACCCAACTCTCTCTAGCACCCAGCTACCCAACTCTCTCGCTCTCTCTATCTCTCTAAGAAGCTCCTCTGGTGTTGCTAATGGTTTAGTGGCACCAAGCATCTGTATCAACTGGAGTCCATGATTGATTCAAGGTTGAAGCCAAGGTTACCATATCTGATCCCCAGTTGAGTCCTCTCTCTCTTGTCTCTTATGAAAGGAAGGAGGAGAAGTTGGTCATGGTGAGGCCTAGCTACATCTTTGATTTGAGCCCAACACTTTCTCTCTCGAAGTTGTAGTGAGAGAAAATAGGGATTTGGGATGAGATTTGTGGGTCATGGCTTCAGAAAGCAAGGGACGTGCTTCATCAAAGGTGAAGCTCATAAATCCAGTAAAAGATGGTTCTTCTTTTTCTTCTGCCAACTAATTGAATAAGGGAACTTTGACTGTGAATAAGAAGAAAAGTGAGAGCTCAAACAGAGGCGCTGGAGATTTGAAGCAAAAATCTATGGTCACTGTAACAAAACAAGAGGTACCCATTTTGGATTTGGGTTTCTCTCTATTTCTTGCTTGATTTGATGGCTTTTTTTGGGGAGAGAGAGAGAGAGAGAGAACCCTAGTGTTCATCAAAAATAACACAAACCTCAAATTTGCAGAGACGGGCAAGTTCTCACAGAAAACCCCTAGGGTTCATCAGAATCAACGGAAACCCTACATTTGGAGCAAGGGGAGGAGGTAAGTGGGGAGGAGGGAGAGACCATTTGGTGAGGCGAGGGATTTGTGACAGAGTAATACAAATCCATAGTGGGGGCTAAAATAAAATACTCGTGTAACACCCAAACGACTTTATAAGAATAGAAAAAAGGCTTTGTATTTTTTCAATTGCCATTTGAAAAACTTGCAATTTTTATGAATAACAAATTCTTTTTATTGGATATCCAAACTGGTCCCAAATCTTTTACAAATTATTGTACTTGAGATTGAAAATCTTCAAAATTGAATTTAAGAGTGTATATGTTCATGCATAATTTTGCATGGTAGATCTAGACTCAACACATTCTAAGTACATAAAAATTCTTAAGCTTTCTAATGTGGATGAAATTATAGAATCCTAAACATTAAAATCATTACTAGATATAGCTTTTGAGACTAAATGTTATAATTTACGTAAATATGTATGAAGATATGTATGAGATTGTTATAATTAAACTAGTTTCGACAACTTCATTAAATGTCTGTAATATGTGTGAGCAAGACAAGGTTGATTTTAATAAAATGTTGTCAGCATCACAATCCACAAGCCAATACAAAGCCACTCTTTAAAAACTCAGGCATCGCCTGAGTCAACTCGCTGTGGCAGGTGCCATGCTTTAAAACCAATGAACTTGCTTTCCATCCTGTTTTGGAAAAATGCCCAAGTATTTTCAAGATTCAGCAAGATGAGTGTTGGAGTCAGGTGAATCCCAAATCTAGAGCAAGTCATTAGAGACTAACCAACTCCGCCCCTATTCTTTTATATTTTGAAGTACCTGAAAAGCACATCATTGAATTTCTGGAGAATTTGACAAGGTTTTAAAGCCTGAGAGTGGGTCTCCGCACCCTATTTTCACCCCTTCTATCATTCTAGACGAATTGGAAACACGAAGTGCACCAAACAAGCATGCATTTGATGATTCTTGAAATTAAATTTTCATCTTGAAAGAAAAATTTGCTAGCATTGGATCTTCCTCATCAAATATTCAATCACTATGAAAGTTTAGGGTGGAGATTTTGCAACTACTTAGGGCTCTTTTAACTGCAATCAAAGAAAAAAGCCCTTTCGGTGCGTGGATTTGGAGATCAGGCACCAATTCTGACTTTAGATCAACATATACCTGTTTGCTCAATCTATTTTTTAATTTTATTTCCATTTTAATGTTTTTTTTTTACAAAAACTGCAAAATAATCTATATAAATATAAGGTTTTTTCCCCCAGATCCATTAATGTTTTAGCTTATCTAGAAAATTTCCCTATTTACAGTTCCTTAAAAAAAAAAAAAAAGAGAAAAAATGCTGAAAGGATATGTTGTTTTTCTGGCAAAGACCAATACTTTTGTGTGTAACACCTTTGCCTGCAAGCACAGAGTGTGTGTGTGAGATCTATGTTTCTGCTCTTGACACTCACGTGGAAATATGGTCTTGTATTTTCGACTGGACTTTGCAATTTTCCTATTTATCCTGAACTTTTCTATTTTCCTTTTTCTTTCAATTTTTTAAATTTGTTAATACTCAGGAACCACTTGCCAAGTACACAAAAAGTCATCTTGCCATGATTTAGAAATTTAGAGTATTGCTCAATACTAAAAGCAGCAAGCAACAGTGTCAAGTTAAACTTCGATAAATCACCTCCCCTAGCCTAGCTATAAGAACTCAAGAGACTTACTGGGAATGTAGGGTTGTGAAAATCATCTTTAAACACAGTGTCAAGATCTTTAAATAGTCGATGCTCAGGGGTATCATAACGGCCATCACATAGATCAAGACCACCTATGAAGGCTGTTATTTTTCTTTTATTCCATGATGCCTGTGTATCAACAAGTACACATTTCTGATGATGTGTAAAGAGAGTTCCGACAACCTGAATGCAAAAAACATGACCATAAAAGAGTTAGCCTGCAGCAAATATGAATAACAGGCACAATGTAAATTCAAAATTTGAAGACTAAATCAATAGCAACACTGCATCAAAATTTCCAAAATTCTAAGGTAGAAATAAGAGATCATATTCTATGTAGACACTGCAAATAAATTTTTATACGCAGCGTCTTCCCCACACAAATTTCAGAAACACGACCTCTTCAACCAGTTACTTAGCCGGTGCCCTACAACTTACTAACCATTCAGTGGGTTAAGGCAACTGATTGAACAGATCACCTCTATGCCTCATCCCAAAAATGTGTTAGGAAGAGTCTACACACAACTTACATATGCAGTGTTGCACAATATCATCACCATCATCATCATTGTCAAAGCCTTTTTCCTACTAATTGGGGTTGGCTACATGAATCCCGGTCCGCTATTCTGCTCTATTAAGGGCTATACCCTTAGTGAGGCCGTAAGCCCTATATCTTTTCTCACTACTTCTAACCATATCATTTTGGGTCTACCCTTTGTCTTTTTTTAGCCTTCCACTTGAACTAATGGCTGAGGTTAGCCCACTAGCTTACAGCTACATATGAGCCCAACAGCCTAGATTCAATCTGAGTTGATCTGACAATCATGACCTCATTTCGTATTTGAATTTTAATTTTTCTCTACAAATCCAAATTAGTTGAAGTTTTATGCGTCTATTCTTCTCATAAAGGTGCACCTAATAAAAATATTAAAAAATAATTTGTACAAAATAAATTGACCAAAATACCCCTGAAATGTTTTAGGAGTAATTTGGTCAATTTAATTTTTGCAAATTATTTTTTGATATTTTTATTAGATTCTTCTATATTTAAATAATACATGCCCAAAATTTCAAGTGATTTGGATTTGTATAAAAAAATTAAAATTAAAATACGAAATGAGGTCGTGATTGTCAAATCGACCCAGATTGAATTTGGGCTGTTGGGTTCATATGTAGCTATGAGCTAGCCTCAGCCTTTCCCATATATATATATATATATATTTATTTATTTATTTATATATATTTTTTATTTTTTTATTGAGACTGATTGAATATTTCAACGAGTACATCTGCATATTTTTCTACCACCTATCGCTTCTGTTTGTATATGGGCCATGCAAGAGTAGAAGTATCAATATACCTATCTATTTAACCACGCTCTGACATCAACTAGCTAGCATTATATTATACTTGCCGTATGCATTAAATCAACATGCTGACAGTCTTACACTCGAAGCCTGACCGTTGTGGAGGATGCACGTTCAACATGCAGAACAATGTAAAACATGAACTCATGTGTAGTAAGGCCAAATAAATATACCAAAAAGGAAATAAATCAACATGGTCACCATTTGCAGAAACCGTCGAAGCCTCGAATGCATAGCATGAATATCAAAACGGAAATAATTTTTAATTTTGTGATGCAATTAATTCTATAACTGCATACAATTTTTTATGGTTTACCCACAAGGAAAATAAATATATTTAAAAATGTTCTCATACTAACATTATCTAGTAGCAACATAACACAATTATTTCAGGAGCAACAAAAAACTAGTCAGGCATTCTGTTCACGAGTCTCAAATAAGTAGCTGCAACAAAGTAGAGAAATTTTTTTTTTTGTTGAGAATGAACAAAGTAGAGAATTATTTAACTCGATGACACAAACAAAAGCAGGTAAAACAAACTACTTTTTCTTTTTTTATTGGTATGGTAGGTGGCATAATTTATGTTTAACAGTTAAAGAATTATGGCACCTAAGAATTCTTCAAATTTATTGCAACAATTAAAAAAAAAATTTGAGGAACTATGTGTTCATTCAGCATATGCAGAATGCTCTCTCTTTTTTTTGTTGAGAAATGGTTGACTTAAGAATATGCTCTCTTTTTGTTCAATATCTTCATTCAGGCACATCAGAAAAAACCCAAACTTTAGCTAAAAGCACATAGAACAATGCCGTAGAATTATCTCTATTAAAGCAAAATTATTAAAAGCCAAATTGAACAAATGGTCTAAAGCCTGCCTGTTGCTTGAAAATGCTAAGCTTACTGCTACCATAACGAGGCGACAGCACGCAATTAACAGATGAATGCTTGAAAAATTTTCGTGTTTCTTCATCATGAGTTTGCATCACTCCTTCCTGTATCGGAAAAAATTTTAGTTACAAATGGTAGCTCAACATTGATTCACATCAATAAATTAGACTGTGATAGAAAATGCAGAGCGCATCTCAAAACTCAAAGCATACAATCACAAGCAATATCAAACAAACACCACATAAGTAATTCCTGTCAGACATATTTCAAACACAAACATTAATTTAATGGTTAACCGGGAACAACTTTTCTACCTTAAGACACCTAATTTCTACTAATAATGTAAAGATCACCATAATGTAGTAGTATTGGTTAATAAGTGGTATAAATATAACTAGAATATCCAGAATTATCAGAAGTGTGCTACTTGAGATGAAGTATGCCAAGCTACGATGGCACCACGACATCCAATGAAAACTACATTAGACATATATGTAACATCACAATCCTTCTCTTGCATCTTGGAGGTATGACACTTACCGCAAGCACACAAGATCAAGAAGATATTTATTTTCCTATCAAAATGAGCTCTCTATGTTCTAGTGCCAAGATGTCTGCATAGGACTTTTTAAGGATGGTAAACTTTTTTTAAATTAGCCAGACTAAGACACAATAAATGTAATGCAAGTTTAGTAATAATAGGAGTAGAAATGAGGAAATAGTTAAGATTGATGGTCTAGTAACACCTAAAAGAGATTGTTTCCGATATCTAGGGTCGATAATCCAAGAGAATGGAGAGATTGAGGAAGATGTCACATATAGAATTAGAGCTGGGTAGGCGAGGTAGAGATGTGCATCCAGAGTTTTATATGATCATTGGATACCATTGAGACAGAAGGAGAAGTTCTATAGGACAGTTGTAAAACCAGTCATGCTTTATGGGACGGAATGTTGGGTGGTTAAGAAACAACATATGTATAGGATGAGCGTAGCTAAGATGAGAATGTTGAGATGGATGAGTGGCAAGACAAAAAAGGATAAAATTCGGAATGAATGCATAAGAAGGAACATAAGTGTGGTTTCAATAGGAGATAAGATGAGGGAAAGTAGACTTAGGTGGGCTAGCCATATGCAGTGTAGACCTAGTACAACACCAGTTAAGAGGTGCGATTTGGTTCAAGATGAAGGCTCTAAAAGGGTAAGGGGAATGCCGAGAAGGATAGAGTAGTGAGAAAAGATATGGTGACTTTTGGTCTTATTGAGGGTATGGCCCTTGACAGAGAAGAATGGAAGAACAAGATCATATAACCGACCCAAATAATTGGGTTAGGGCTTGGATGATGATGATGATGACAATGATGAAACTTTGCTTGCATTAAAGAAAGAATCCTACAAGATATTTAAAGAAAGGATCCTACAAGATATTTGATCCAAAGGAAACAAACAATTAGGCAGAAAAAATCTCATATCCTTGTGCTATTCAAAGATATGCCCATATTTTTCAATCTATCAGCCACTATGCTCACCATCAATCTATCAGACCATGTTTGCTGCCCTAGGAATGTTTGACACCAACGCCCATGAGGTTCAGCAAAGTTCCAAGCTGAGTAGAAGTCTTCAAAGCTTGGTTTCAGTATTATTGCAATTTATGAAGCAAACCAACATAAGCCCTATTAACTATAAAATAAAATAAAAAGTATTTAAATGTACAAAAATTTATTTCCAAGACATGTCGCTATATGACTCCACAAGTTGACTCAATTAGTTCCAAGCATATTCAACCTGACCCCGCATAGCGTTTACATGAAGCCTTGACCCAGGAAACGACACATATTTGCAAAGCCACTAGATAAATCCGACATGCATGTAATTGTTCAATTTAATATTGATCTGCCATCCTAGTCACCAAGTACACAATAGGAAGTTTCCAACATGCATAACATCCATATTCTAAAAGTGAAAGTAAGATATAATCCAATTGACAATGTAGAACGTAATAACCCATTGCTTTATTGCCATCCATTGAGATTGATGGATATAGTTGGAAAGTCGGACCCACCCTAAGCTTTGCTAACAATCCCACTCTTTCCAACACTCTCAGTGACGAACCGGTAGAGTATGGTGTTTCCATAAATCATAGTAAAAAGGTGACTGACATTATTCCACAGGATTATAGTGCACTTTCTGTTTTTCAAAAGGGTTAATCTATAGGTAGGGGTCCTTCTCCCCCACTGACTTACCAAAAAAAAAGAGGTTAATCTATACAATGGTTAGGTGAGATTTTCACTAAACTTGGTATAAAATAAATTAATTCCAGAAGTTCAGTAGTTTTGGTGTACAAACCAGTGTTCGCAAAATCGAACCGAAACGGTTAACCAGACATAGGGCTAGGAGCGGTTAGAACTAGAACCAGACTAACCGGGCAGTTAACTGGACTAACAGGTCTGGTGGATTTTTTTTTTTTTAAAAAAAGGGTCAAAAACCCCAAAAAGAATTAAAAAAGAAAAAGAAAAACTTAGATTTAGTGTCTATTACCTTATTACCTACATTTATCTCACAAAAAAAATTCGAAACAACTTTTTACAAAAATTAATATATGAATACTATGGAGATGTGCAAGACAATTTATAATTTGACATTAATTTAATTGATGGTGTCACAAAGTCCAACTAACAATGGCTAGTAGTGAGAGTGGTAAGGGGGGTTAGGGAACTCTTGTATTTTGCCAATGTATTTTCTTGGTTTCTCTATTCCAACAAAAATTTTGAAGTAATCATATTAACAGTTCATGATTACATTCATCAATTGAGCAGCAAAGTAAACTGCTATATCAGCAGTCCTTACGACAAAATAAGAAAATGGCAAGAAGGAACTGACCATTATTGATCCTAAGTAAATATCAGAATTCAATACAGTTATTTAAAAGCAAGATAAAAAAATTTTGATAATAAAAAAGTTTGAAATTGTGAATGCCTCTGCCAACACAATTATAATCCCATTTCCATTACACAATTACAATCCCAATTCCATTATTACAACAATTACAATAACAATCCCATTTTCATTATTTAAAATATAACTATATCATGCACTTAAAAAAAAAAAGAACAAAAATATCATGCACTTATTTTTTTGTTTGTTAGAAAAAATATAACATTTAAAAAAGAAGAATCGATTTTTTTGTCATATTCATGAAAAAACATATTTTTATCATAAAAACATAATTTTATCAAAAAAAATATAATTTTAGTAAGCAAAATAGAAAAACACTTCCCATATTCATCATAAAAAAATAATTTTATTAACTTAATAATATTAAGTAAAATTAATTTTTTTTGAAAAATCGGTTTCTCAAAAACCCCTAAAATCGAGCAACATTTCAAGCAAAAACGACCCTCAATGTTCGGAAAATCGAACAAATCAATACAAAAGCTTTATAAAGGCTTCCATCATCTTTCAAGCGCACCAAATCTAATAAAAAATAATTTTCATTTTATATTTAATTTAAAAAATCGCAGAAAATTTAGACCTACGAAATTTTCATGACATCAAGCAAGAAATAAATTCATATTAAAAAATTTACTCAATTATACCTATTTTATATGACAGATGAAGCCTTGATGATCAACATCCATAAATCAATTTGATAAAAAAAACCAATAAATTGATCCAAAATCTGTTTCTTGGATCGAACACAAGTTCTTCGAGTAGCAAATTTTGAGGCCAAAATCAACCCCAAATATCTTGTTTTTTGAACAAATCGAAACATGGATATGATAACCAATTCGATTATGATTCAAAACCCTCAACTTTCATCAATAATCATTACCTATTAAAGATGAAATTAACGAAATGGCGGATCGAATTAGGGTTTCTTCAAGCAAATTTTTGGGCCAAAATCAACCCCCTATCTTGTTTTTTGAGCAAATTGAAATAGGGATATGGTAACCAATTCGATTATAATACAAAACTCTCAAATTTCATCAATAATCGTTACCTATTGAAGAAGAAATTGATGAAATGGCAGAAATTTCAAAAGGATAGAAAATTCGCCAATTCAATCCACAAGAACTATTGTTTTTTTTATCTTTGATTAGAATTTTGTTGTTTTATAGACATTTAATAATGGTTTACAATACTAAAGCACCAAAAAGGCCAAAAAATGGCAAGGAAATCGAATAAAAAAAGTAAGAAAATTTGATTCACAGGTCCTGCCGCAAATAATAGGCTCCATTTCAAAAAACGGCTGTTATTTCGTTTTGCACATTTTTTGCCAAAAAAACGCCGTTTTAACAGAAAACCGGTCAGTCAGATCAAAACCGGCCGGTTAGACATAAATACAGCCGGTTAGACCCCAACCGGCCGGGTTTGGTCTGGAAATTTTTGGGCTGAGAACCCCAAAACCGCCCCTAACCAGACTCGGAACCGTAGCTGTTGTGAGCTAATGGCCGGTTTTTCTAACAGTGGTACAAACTAACTTTGTCTTCGTTATTGGCACAAATGGATTTGTACTTTTTATTTTCACTTTGCTAATTCTGTTTTTTTCTTTATAATTAACCATACTTTCATTCCTTGTAAATTTGAATTTGAATATACACATGTGAAACATATCCAGAAGTCAAAATTCATGTGCAAAATTGGACCTCTATAAGCTCCTAATAACAGAACTTCATAACTACTAAACTCATCATCATGGTTCCCTTGAGCTTCTGCCATGAATATGATTCCCTTCACTTCTACCGTTCCATAAAAAGTGCAAAATTGATCCAAGGAAAGCAATCACGAACATTGACCCCCAAAAAGGAATGAATTCCCATAAATACTCTCAGTGACCATCATAAAGAAGAACAAAATATATATAACAGAACATACCCACATCCAGCCCCAAAATCTTAAGATGGCATAGGCTTCGACCCATAGCTAGAAGAACTGGATGGATAACATATGTAGTTCTCATTATAGGAACTAAATGGATAACATATGTAGCAGCAATGTCGAAAAGGACCCTATCATGGAGAATAACAGAATTCAGCTCAACCAAGCTGCTTTAACTTAGTGTAAAGTGTAAACCATTATTTTGCACAAGCCACAAGTATCAGGGAAGAAAGAGTAAAAGGATTATTGAACATGCATACCGATCTCAGGAATAACTTATCGTGTGAGGTCTTATCGTCCCAAACCAGAAGGCACACTCGAACACCCTCCTGTGACTTGTACTTGAGCAAATCCCCAAGAGTCAAATCCCCACCTTCAGGCAATGGTCTGGTTGGTTCCCTAACAAGCTTAACCTTATGATTAACAGACCACCCAACAATATAAATCAAATGATGGGCCTCCAATATAGCATGACATATGTCTTCCCAACACTTTTCATGCTCAAACATCTTACCACCATCCAATTTTATTTCAGGAAGCTGACCATCAATAACATGAGCATCTTGGTATAAAGTAACCAACCCACCTCTTCTAAGTGGGAAATAGGTATTTGGAACCCCTGGATAGTCAGTTCCAGCCCCGACTCCATGTCTATAGAGAGGATTTTGCAGAGCAGGCCTGAATTTTATTGATAAATGCAAAGCCGAATCAGGTTTTGGGGGCTTACCATAAGAATCAAATATAGGGAACCATTCACTGATAGTCTCATTGGGCACAAGTTTATGTAATGATACACCTGCAATTCCAATCAATTGAGCTCCAAATATGTCGTTGTCTTTCACCTGAAACTCAATCCGAGAAACTGGGTGAGCAACCGGTATCAAGAAGTGCTCCTTCCATTCTGGATTTTGGGAATTAGGAATAACTCGCGTTCGAGCAACCGTTGCTCCTCCTAAAGAAACTGAGACATAGGGATCACTGGTTATGATCTTCCGATGTCGATGCCTTCTCTTCTCTCTCTTCTCGAATGGAGCTCGACACGGTTCACAAATGGTGAGGCATTTGCGCAAATGCTCAGAAAACATGTCCATGTTTGGAAGAGACCTCGCCTCATTGATCCATAAGTCGAGGTCACCATGGAGCATGATGATTTTATCTGAAACATCACCTTCGAGGGGAAGGACCTCCATCCCATCACCAGCCATTAGAAGGCCCCAACTCCTCTGCTCCAAAACCAGAGTAAGGGTCTCAGAGCTTAGAAACAGAAGAACTCATGGCGAAAACCAGAGAACAGAGCTCATAAAGAGGATATTTCATTGCGAATCAATAAGAGGAGCTGGAAAGGTTTCTTTGGATCCAAGGAATTCGAAACTTCGGTAGAGAGCGAGAGAGAGAAGCCCTAAGAGCCGGGTAGAAAGAAGGTGGGGAATGAAAGAGAAAGTGGTCCCGAATGGCTAGTAACGAGGAGGAGAGAGAAAATGATGCTACACGGCAGGGGAGAAGAGCAAGAGGAGAAAGAAACTGCTAGCAGGAGGCATAGGAAGAAGACAGAGGTTTAGAGAGAGAAAGATGGGAGGTAAGAAGCGAGACAAACATGTAGACAGAATGGAGGTAGGAAGAGAGAGAAAGTCACATGGTTTAGGGCATCTTGTGTGCCGTGTTACTGGAGTAACGGCGTCTTGAGTTCCCAGAACCGAAGAAAACGGAAGTGAAGAGTTTCAGCGGCCAACGCCTGGTGTAACGGTCACGTGCCCACGTCTGATTTGTTGGGAAACGCCCAGTTGAAATTGATGGCACATGTGTGTGACTAAGATATGTCGGTCTTTTGCCTATCTAATTTTTGCGATATTTTCGTCACAAAAAGTCAAGGGTGAACCACTAACTCATAAAGAAAAGGAATCCAATGATATTGCTGTGCCAGGATCCATGATTTTCAGCCATAAAAACCTCAACCTGCACTAATCGATGACATTTCTTGAATTCTCTTCAACAACGAAAGAATTTCCGAGCTCTTTATTCTTTATTCTTTTCAATTTTCTTAAATGGACAGGTTGTTGTTGTATTAGCGATGGCTGCTATGTCGATCTCCCTTTCTTCATGGAGAGTACAATGGGAATGAATGTGGTCATGAGCGTCACCACGTTTTAACAGGGAAGATAGAGTGATAATGCAAGCATAACGTGATTTGGATGCAAATCTCACTCTTACTCGCACACTTTAACCCATTGATCGAAGGTGATGATGCTCTCTTCATCGTCGTAATGGTTGACTGCGATTATGCTCATGATTGCGAACGCTTCATGGCCGTCCAACCCATTGGTTGAAAGGTGATTATGCTCTTCCCCATATTCACATTTTTTTTTCTTGCTAAGGGAAAAAAATTGCATTTTTACATGTTTAAAACTAACAAAAAAAAATGTGTTGTGCATGTTCAAAACTCGAGTGGGGACATAAACGTCCACATCCATGTGTTGGTGGCAGTGGGTCCCACAGGACCTCCGGTTGGTGTTGTGGATAAGGGAGTGCGTATGGGTAGGTCAAGTGCCATTAGTGGAATTTGGGCCCTACCTCTTCTTCGTACCTCACCGAATCCATCGGGCCGTAACGTCGAGTATGGTGATACGTAAAAATCAACTTTCTACGTAATAATATTGTTTTTTTTTTGTATTTACCTCTCAACAAAAAAAATCAATGATTTTTAAAACAAGTTTGTTTTTTTATTCTCTTTTCTCCTTTGTTGTCTCTTTTTTTCTCCCTCTACCCTCCCTCACTCTTGCTCTCTCTATTTTTTTTTATGTCTGACACATTCCTTGTCAGAACGAAATTTTTTTTTACGGCTTGACACTAAAACACACAAAATCTTGTAACTTCTCCCTTGCTCATAAGCGTGAAGCATTAAGCACGCACAAGAGATACAAAGTTACCCTATTGGGGGTATCAATGGGTAGGTTACTCATATAGGAATAGTAAGATCTATTGTTTTGTTGCGTTTCATAACACATAAAGATATACCATCCAGATAGATAACTATTGATCACATTCCTCTATCTCTCCTTTCTTTGATCTAAGCCGTACTGTCTCTCTTTTTGTAGGTGAAAATGAACAGCGATTTTGCCTACCCTCATCATGTCTAAACTTCATCGTACGATCAAAATTTTCTTTTTTTTTTACTAATCGGGATGATCTGAAATTTAGAACGTGTGTATATCTTAGTGAAACACACCTAATAAAAATATGAAACAAAAATAATTCGTAAAATATAAATTGATCAAAATACCCCATAAATTTTAGGAGGTATTTTGGTTAATTTATATTTTACGAATTATGTTTTTCATATTTTTATTAGGTGTGTTTCATTAAGATGTACACACGTTCCAAATTTCAAGTAATTTGGATTAGTAGAAAAAAATGAAAAATGAAAAATGAAACACTATCGCACAATTTTGGCCGTACGATGAAGTTTGAATGCTGATGAGGGTAGGCGAAATCACTGTTCATTTTCGCTTATAGGAGTTGGGAAGAGTTTTCCATATTTATATATATAACGCTGAGGACCTAAAGATTCAAAGTAAGACACACTTTCAAATAGTATTGAAAAATATTGTCTCGGTGTTGGAAATCTTTATAATGACTTAGAAATTTTAATGTTCTATTTTGTCTTTAATAATAAAATTTGAAGCTTCAAAATCAGTGTGGATCGAGTAGATCTATATACAATTGAAAATTTTGAAAATTGACGGTCTAAAATCTTCTTACGTTCATGGATCTTGAAATCCATTTTTATGTCCATAGATCTTGAGGTCGAGTTGATCGTTTTGAAGATCTTTGGTCATCGAAACAGCCTCTTCTAGTGCAATTTCGAGGTATGATGCCTTAATTTGATTGTTTAGGGTCTCGCCCTTATAAACTTTTTCCATATATAAAATCTTGAAAATGGATAGTCTAACTAATTTGTTACAAGATGTACTATTTTAGGATTCAAAATTCACTTTTTCCTTTTGATATTCATATGTCTCGATGTCGAGTTGACTTATTGGCAGTTTTTTTAACTTCAGAATACTCATAATTAATTGGAATGTTTTCCAACTTCAAAATACTCTTTTCTACTTAAACAATTTATTTCTACAATATAAGGTTGCGAACTTATATAACCTTTTTCTAATTTTGATAAAGTGAATCTTGTAATACAGATTTGGAATGTCATTTTTCAATATCTTCATGTGTTTATAAACCTGTTATTTTAGACAATTTTCAGATTTAATATTTAGTATTGGAAATGAATTATCAAACCATTAAAGCGGTTATGGCACCATAATTGGATCTTTTAACGGGGTTTGAAGGTACACCTTTAATTGTTTAAGGTCGAAGCCTCATATAAACCACACTTTTTATTTATATATATTACCTATATTTAGAAAACCAACTATGGCAGGCATTATTTTAGAAAAGAAAATGTATAGCATCCACATCACGTAAACACTTGAAGGGTTCACAAGCACAATTTCAAACAGTTGAATTGAATCCAGGCTGATCAATTTTATTTTTTATTTTTATTTTCTTCTACAAATTTTATTCACGTGAAATTGGATGTATACTCATCTTAAATGGGCACACTTAATTAAAAAATGAAAATATAATTTGAATAAAGACATTGACCAAATACCCTGAAACATTTATAAGTATTTTGGTCAACTTTTTTACTTGATTTTCTTTTTAACTTTTATCAGTTGCAATCTTGTGAGGTATATGGACACTCCAATATACCGTCTAAAATACAAATCAGTAGTGAAGTACTGGCCCAAGCTCATGGCCACTAATGGACACCTATTCTTGAGGAACATATCCTAGTCTGAACCCAAAGGTGCAAACCTGTGCCTACACTCCTGCATCTTTAGTGCAAATGGTGAAACCTCCATCCCTAATGCTTCACCTACAATTTTACATTGTAATAGGGATAATAAATGCTGGTTCTTTCTGATATATACATTTTCTTTTGGGCTAAGTAGGTATACAATTATTTACTTGGAATTTTCATTTTCCAATAATTACACCTGCACATAGTTGCTACTGCTGGCTTTGAGAGTTGAAATTGGAGGAGCAGCCCTCATCACAAAACTTTGGCCAAAGGCTATCAACTGCACAAAAGAGATAAACTTATTTATGTTATGGTCTCCCCATCATCAAATCTAAACAAAATTCATCACTCAAAACACTTACAGAGGCAAAACCAGCACACATGATGCTGAAACCTGGGAAAGGAAATGGTGCTCTCTCCGATAGAAACAAAGCTGAAAGAATCATAGAATATGCAAGCTCAGTGGATGATTCTTGAACAATCTAAATGATGCACAACATAACATAGTCCAATAGACTATGGTTTCGGATTAATGGTACATTATACATCGACCATTCATATTCACCGATCATTTGGAGATAAAGTTTATCAGGGTGAATTTCCATGCGAGCCCTGTGCCAGTTGATTGCCAACCATCTGTGCACGGGAGTCGATGGTGGATGAAACCTTGGAGTACCACAGACCTCAGTCCATTGGACTATGGTGCATTTTCTCTAGCAAAATTCAAGGGAGGGTCAAACACCTGTGAGAGGTGTCATTGCGAGCGGGGATAAAACGCTTGCAAAGGAACGTATCCCAGAAATGCACCCCTGAGCCTTCCCCTGAGATGTGTTTTTCAGTAAAAGTAGACAAGATTAAATTACTGCAGATTGAACTAAGTTTTTGTGATGAAACATGACATAAACTCATACTCAAAATAATTAATGTCAATTGGATATTTACCGGCTTGCATTTGGGTGAGCATTTAAAACAGAGATCAAAAGATTATTTCCCATGGAAGTGGTAGAATAGCAACACCTTCCAATTAGAAGCTAAATAGTGTTGACATAGCACCCTTAAATTGCGCATGTTGATATTGTTACATCTGATACTTTGTTGCAGACTGTAAACTGTTTTTACTCCAAAATTTGCCATAAATAATTTCTGCTGGACGAGTAGAACAGAACGGTTGTTAAAATTATGTTTTCTCTGGTTGGGATGTTCATCGTGATGGGAAGTAAGAAGGTGGATTCATATGGGTCAATATTTGAGTCCACTACTATTCTTGTTTCCTGCTATATAATTGCAGAACTCGTTGCAGCATTGTAAACTGGATATGCAAGGATGACCATTGACAGTAAGTTCGAATTAACAAAATCCGATTCTGTTGCACATGAGAGGAATGAATTTTCCAACATCTTTATCATTTCATACCAACAATCTTAAATCCTAATTTACTTACATAAGATCATCAAGATAAGGACTGCCTATTCAAAGAAACTTCTATCATAGTATGTGAACAAGGATTTGGCAGGCACGAAAACATTATAGATCTGCCAGTAGCTTTTGCAAGCTTTTTGGCTCTGAAGTTAACTTCTGTAAACACCCCACCTAGAATTTCACAAGCATATGAAGCTCAATGAAGTTGATTTGCTGGATCAGCAGCATAAAGATTACACTCATTACCCTTCCAAAATGCATCAGTAACTTCCCATCCAGCCGAATCACTAAAGGAGTTGAGCAAAAATAGACGATACTTCTTAATTGACAAATTATTATTCATTAACCTTACAAACTTAGATCAATAGGACAAGCTGCGATATTATAAAACAGTGTACAAGGTGCACATTATGGATAATGCCATTCTTCAATGCCACCAAGCCTGGTTTGACATTGTCCAATGTATATTAATGTGGGATGGTAACACAACCATCATGACTAATATAATTGAATCCATACACACGCATATATATCTCAAAAGTTTTTATTTTTTTCTTTTGGGGTGAAGTATATACCTTGCAAATTACTGACAGTTCTTATCAAATACAGTGAGGCTATGACTAAGAATCAATGAAAATCACTCTTGACCAAATGCACATGTCGATTGCTCTAAACTAATGAGCATCATTCATCATAACTTCTGCATCAACATCATTTTCATGGGACTACAATCTGGTATACTATAAAAGAGGACTTATTTGTTACAACAGTTTGCTTTTCAGATGTCACTTTCCTAAAGGGAGGCTACAGCGGATAAATACTTGCAATGGGTGTTATACCCATGTCAGATAATATGTACAAGAAACCTGATGTCATTGCCTTTAGTTGTATCAGAATCAAAAGTAGAGTTTTTAACAACTTGTGGAGTTGTTAATTCATGAATATGTGAAGGAGGCATTTTTTGGACAATGTTCCAATCATGCTAATGTACATGGAGAATAAGTCATCTTCTTCCCATTTCCAGAATAAATTCAAGCAATAATCTTCTCATATTACTAAAATATTGTTTTCCTAGGGCCCAAAGAGGGTATCGACCCATTCGTCATAGCTTAATTTCCAAAAGACAACTAAATTTGAAAAATCGAATCAAAGGAACAAACTGTCAACTATCAAGGGAGAAAATATTGCACAAACTACTATGAGGATTTGGCTTGTATATAAGAGGAAAATTAATCCAAAAAAAAAATTATCTGAAAGCTAATGTAATTTTCATCAAACATCATCCCTCTTAAGCAACAAAACCATGAAGCATTAACAAAGTGAGTCAAATATCAACTGCACTGGCTTGACATGTTAATTGTAAAAAAGAAAAAATGTTTATGGTAGGAACAGTACCTGTTCATCAGCCCCTACTTGCTTGGACACGATACTCCCAATCTGCAAGCATAAATAAAGAGATGTAAGCTAAAGAAATGTAGGTTTAAGACACTTTTCCAAAGCAAGTAGGTCAATTTGGAGTAATAGAACAACCAGTAGGATACTCACACATGGAGTAGTAAAAACAGTAAAAAATGCAAACATAGATGCGATGTATGGAACCTACACAAGAACACAAAATTGATAGAAGAATACTATTAGTGATGAGTTGAGGGTTTTCAATGTAAGGTCAATATATCCAATTGTGAATACCCATACTGAAGAAGGATCTTAAGGGAAACAACTAAAACACAAATAAACAAGATAACGAAGCAGAGCTAATGTTACTTGAAACATACAAGGAAGAAAATGTAGCAAGTTTCATTTTTACATGACCCAATGGTTAGTTTTTGGCTGTTTTACTACTATAGAAATTAGTTCTTTATCCAACTTTTTCTTTTGTTAGTCAATACTTGGTTAGGTAATAGCTGTTAGAAATCAAAGGGCACTACAAGGAATTCTGGAATAGGTTGAAAAAGGGATCAAAATTAAAATATTCAAGAACAAATGGATGGAATTTCATTGTGTCATAAAACTATAGGAGGATCATATTTAACTAATTAAATTTGATAGAAACTTACCGCTGAGGACCATGCTATGCAGTACAGGAAGGTCTGCATTATTTTCCAAATATCAGCAAGTCTCGAACTCAAAACTCGATATGGAGAAGGAAAAAAATCGATAAATTATAAATCAAGAATGCCAAAACAAAAATTATTATCAGAGAGTAATACATGAGCACAGCATGCGAACAGTCCCACACGAAGCAACTTCTCCTCACCGACAGCAGTAGCTAATATTGGCATGAAAAGCATCTGCAAAAACCAACAGCTTCATATGATTATTCTGAAATAAATTTTTGAAACATAAATACCAAGTGGAAAGATTCTCAAAACAAGTACCTGAGAAGTGGCCCCTGCAATCCCGCAAATTAACAGTATATCGGCAAACTGATTCTTGTCAAAGTGAAATCGAGCTTTCAAATAGTACTGCAGTAAAGTAAATGATATGCAATTACAGATGTCAAGTTAATTACTTTCAGGTACAGAGCAAAAAAGAAGAATTAGCTCAAAAAATATGCATAGGCACACGAACCTATGAAATTCCTTAAATTCAAGCTCTATCATAATATGCTAACTTCAATCAGAACAAACAATACAGAGTCGACCAGAATAACTCAACAAATACTCTCAAACATAAAGCCTGGCAACTGAGACTCAAATGTCTAAAATTCTCACATCCAAATTCAATCAAAGAACTTGCAAGCAATAATTTCCAGCATTCAGAAAAGCATACCTAACAGTAAGGACAGTGGCTTATGAAAAAAGAGAAAGACATTGCCCCTCAGATGGCGTTAACAATAATGGGGAACCAACCATACACCACTCCACTGCCCCAAGGTATGTAATAAGGGAATAAATAAGTCAACATATATTGTGAATTAAATGATCATTTCAAGAGTATGTCCATGGGGAGCCATCAACATCACATCACTGGGTTGGATACTGATGGTTTCATTGGGTCCTCCAAACCTGTCTTTCATTAACCCAGAGAACGGTTAACTCCCCCAATCACCACCCAACCCATTGATGGGACAGTGATGACCTTATGACCATACTGGAAATGCCACACAGTAATAATGGTGTAGATGGAATTCTCCATTAAAGTTAATGTACACAGCAGCACAACACCAGAACAGCAACTAATCTGACATCTTTTTGCTTTTAGGGTAGTTCAACGAGGAAGGGGTCCCCTACCCATTATAAGAATGGAACTCAAAAAGTCACCTTGTAGTGGCTTGACACCCTAACCATCTAGCCTTGAGCCCATTCCTAGAATGTTCTTAGTATTTACTAATAGATGAGGCTAGAATTAGTGCACTAATGGATCATCATAGACATGGAAGAAATCTTCAATATCAATTAGATGATTTTGCACCACACCCTTTGGAAGGCCAACTTGGAAGCCAACTCCATATTCAGAATGAGTGGTTGGATATGAGGTCTCAATTCTACCCATTTCCTGATTTCCCCTTTTTTAACAAGCAAAAACAACGTGCAATAATGTCAAACCTATTTCCAATTACATGGCTGTCCCCTTCCACACTACATGTTTTTCTCATGTATGTAACTCCACATATACCTCCTCTGGATATTTGATTAACCCAGCACACAGACATGAAACCAGGAAATTATAACCTTTTTTTCCGAAGTTGGCAGACTAAAAAGAGAACATAACAAAGTATTTAGCTCGTAAATACTGTATAAGTTTAACAAACTATGCCACTACTTGTCAATTCTGAATGTGTGTATCCCGCTTTTGACAATCTCTTATAAAGCAAAACTTAGTGGTTTCCTAGTACTCCAGATAACACCAGTGGTCCCATGGTGTATGACAAGAAAAGGATAAAAGAAACATACGGGTTACATATGATTTCCCAGCATAATTATTTATGCATTCCAAATAATTCAATAGAACCGGCTGATTGCACCAAAACAAAATCTCTATCTTGACATAATGTTTCCATGAAAAGTTAATCTTTGATCATTATTTATGTTTCCAAATAATTCAATAGAAGTGGTTGATTGCACCAAAACATAATCTCTATCTTGTCATAATGTTTCCATGAAAAGTTAATAGTTGATCATTATTATCATCATCATCATTATTATAATTATTATTTTATAAGTAGGAACTAAGGCATCATGTTCAAGGCTATGTAGCTTGAACCTGCCAAGACAACCGTGTTGGTTGGACTTTTCAGCTTCAAATATGAAGTAAGAATTCCCCTATTGCTATTGACTTCCAATGAATCACTAAAGCATTGTTTTCAAGGCATTATACTCTAATGAGCACAGATGTCTTGATCTCATTCTGTAAAATGTGTCTCTAATGAGTATATGTACAATGATCTCAGCCTACAAACCTACAAATTACTAATAAAAGAAGGGCATGATACCTGATTACAAATTACTAATAAAATAAGTACAAGATACATGATATTCTTTCTTAATGTAATGAATCAACAAACTAAAATAACAGAAAGGGAAAAGGGACAAAACAAATGAGACCTGCAAAGTTTATCAAAAGCAAATAGACTATTGAAAGATGTTTCTATTTGTCTAAGAAAAACAGTTCTATTTTCTAACTTTGTGTAGAACCTTAAATAAAGAATACTGCAAATAAGAAAAGCAAATCTCCTAGACAGGAGGAGTAGATACCAGTAAGGAAGCCTGAAGACCAGTCTCTCCAAGTGTGCTGAAGAATGTAACAACAGACGCATTTGAAAATGTTGAGCTGTATAGTTTACACAATATCACGTCAGAAAACATCTCACATAAGTGTTTCAAGGCTCGGCCAAGGCCACTCGAACTCGGCCGAGTTATAAATATATTTGTTATGTCAACTATATGTCGTAAATGCATGAATGGCCTTATGGATGGTGTATGCGCATGCTTTCCACTTTGGCCGCATTGATTTTCTGAACACTGCCCTATAGTGTCGTAAAAGAATTGCAGCCAACAAGTACAAGCAGAATTTACAGCGCTGCGATTGAATTAGACATATTTTTGACTAAGCCAAGAACATGGTAGTGGAGACCACAGAGAGCCTCATGAGAGAAACCAAAATCTTGACACATTAGGTAGAGGACACAATCAAACATTTCTCTAGATCACTATAACAAAACACGTTCTTTGTCGAAAGTTGAATATATTCTTCGCCCCGTCACCAAACTTCCATTCTGGATTTACACTCTTTGCGTGTAAAACATAGATTAGTTTCACAACTTTTGTAGTGTGAGCTCACTAAACATATTATGATTTACTTTCATCTTGTAACTCTTGGAGCCCTAGACGCAGCACTAAGTATTATGGGAGCATTGTGTTGAGTTTATGTGGCCTTTAAAGGCCTTTCAAGTACTTGTAAAATGAAATGATAGAATGGAACATGAATTCAGTGGTAGTGTGGTCTTTCGTAGATTATACTAAGCAAACAGTGTTTGCAGATATCGGACTGTGCTTGACGATCTAGGCCAGTCGGTTGGGAAAAACCCATGTTACCTGGGCATAAAGAACAAACAGATAAGGGTTCTAATGGGTTAACCCTTAATGAGGTCGGAGAATATGCCTGGATGAATGAGCTTTGTATGTGATGATGGCCTACAGAGATGGGTCAAAACCTCATCCATGTACCATCACACAGCATGCATATCGATAGATCGTTCGAAAAAGCCAGAAATCCACATTTTAGGGTGAAGCGTATACATGTGTGAGAGATACCCTTTGCGCCATAGAGCTATGGTTGCATAAGGTCTTGGTGACCTTGACTTGTCTATAGGGGAGGACTTGAAATCTACAGACTGGGATTGCGATCCCTTGGCTCATCGGCCGGACTTTGGTGACCTGCTAAAGAGCCCCTGCTTGGACTGTGGGTCATAGGAAACACTGGGTCGGTCTGATAAAGCAAGTGTGGTCTGTAGTCTACAATTGAAGGTGGAGTGTCTCATGATTGTTGATTCCTGAACCATATGGATCCTTTTCCCATCAAATTAATTTAATTGTATTTGTTTTATGATGGAAATTAGTTTAAGATTATTATTTGAATTTTTATGAACCCCTGGATATTTTATTTATAATTTTTGGATTTATAAAATTAAAGATATTGATTTTATAATTATTTAAATATTCAAATAATATTCTAAAATATTTTTATTAATTTTAAATATATAAAAATATCATGGATGCCCATTGTGCACATGAGCTCGTCATAGTTTTAGAAGGTGGGGCCCATGAGTGCCGCCCTTGGGTGGCATGCCCCGCCCCGCCCTTATTCTTTTTCCTATTTTTTTTAGTAATATGGCATGTGGCCATATGGTTGAAAGATATTGACTAAATATTGACTTGATATATCTTTGAAAGATTTTGTGAAAATATTGAATAGACTTGTGCTATTTTATGATATGCACAATATTTTGATTATATTTAATTTATTTAATTTTTATTGATGAGAAAATAGTCTAGGAAAGGGAGATAATAATTCATGCACTTTCCATAATGTTGATGGTCCATCTATGGAATGGATGGCTCTGATCTCTCACTCCACAAGTCACCATTGATCGACGATCTATGTTCAATCTCACAAGAAGAGGTAAGCCAAAGAAAATTTTAAGAAACCCTAATCTTATTCAAAGCCTATAAAAATGGATTGTCTCTACCAAAAACTCTCTACACTTTATCTTTCTATCTCTCTCTCTTAAGAAAGTTTAGCTCTCTCATGTTTGATCTCTCTCTCCCACATTGTGAAAGAATATAAAGGTTTAGGTTATGGAGTTCTTCTCTCCTATCTCTAAAATATGGATTTATAGCTAATGGTTTTAGGGTTTAACAAAAAGAGAATCCATCTCTCTCATACTAGGTTGCTAAGAGAATTCACTTAGGGTTTGAGTTTGTAATCAGATGGGTTAATGTTCCATTGGTGTGGCTTGGCCGAAATTTGTTTTTCTGGCTTGAGATTGAAGCTAGACCGTTGATCCAGCATCATCAGATGGTGGTGACTCAGTGTGACGTGTAATAAGCTCGATTGAGGTAATCTCTAGCACTCTTCCTTTTGTTTCTTGCAATCTTATCTTTTATTCTCAAGCATAGTGCATAGTTTTTTCAATGGCATCAAGTTGTTAAAATCTTGGTTTTATTGTTATGTTGATTTTATTTTGAAATTTATCTTATTATAATAAAGGCCACCTGTAAGTGATCTTTTGCCAAAAGAAAGTAGTAAAAATAAAATAAAATGAAATGTATTCCTCGGTAAAAGATCACATAGGTCTTTCTTTCACATTGTACTTTATATTTGCTGCTATAAAAACAATAGATGAAATTTCATAATATATGTTAATTTCTTTAAAAATCCTTGTATCTCCACTCCCTTCCAAATAACCAATGTGTTACATTCAATTTTTAAACCTGGATCGGTAGGGTGAATTGGCCATATGAATTTTGTCAAAGAACAGTTGGCTTCAAGAGAATTAGCCAATAAAAAAAAAGAAAATTGAACAATTTTAAAAAATAAAAATAGTAAAAAAATAAAATGTGAGGCCAGATTATCGGATTCCCTAACAAGTTCTATTAGAGAACAAGCAGGTTCCTGATGGGAACTTCTGTCAAACTGGCTCCTAATGGGAACTGAACAAGCCAGTTTCTAATGGGAATTTGTGTAGGAGAACAGGGTGGTTCCAGAGGAAACTGCCCAGAGATTTAGGGAAATTGGGTTCCAATCCAACTGGCATTTTCTAAAATACGCATATCATTACTCTAGTAGACAAGGACCATTTAACTAATATCTATTATTATATAATGTTATAAATCCCGTATCACATATTTCCAATAATGGGGTTGTATATAAAGAGCTTTAATTTTTATTATAAAGATGTCACAACCATTTCCACTTATTAGATGTCAAATTAAATAGCTTGGGTGAGTCATAAAGTCTTTTTTGAAATTTAAAGTACAATAGTGATTTTGACCTCTTTGTAGAAAAGATGAATGATCTCTTTGTATATATATATATATTTAATAGTCTAAACAACATTATTTTACGCCGAATTGCAACAAATATCTTTGGTGGAAAAATCGAAATCAGCGCAAGGCTATTTAGTTACCATGGTTTCCATCCATGGTGGCACCATAAGCTTAATTATATTGTTGAAGGGCTCAAAAGATCTTATCATTACTATAGTTTTAGTTTTAGAGGTTATCTGAGTTCGGGGTTGAGATCCTAAACATCCATTATCTCATCTTGATAATTTGGGATATTAGTAACTTGAGCTAAATTACGAAAATAACGTTACATGTCTAAACGCCAAACTACCAAATGACGCAAATAACCTAGTGCGACAATGATAATCCTCAACAATTAGGGATATTTTAATTAGCTTGCAACCTTAGGCAAACTTCTAAATTTTATCATAAATATAATTTTAATATTAAAAATTCTTAGAATGGCTTGATAATCTAGTTTCATATCTAATTATAAAATTTTAAACTTTAAAAATGGTTTAAATCAAGTAGATCTAGAATCACATGAAAATCTTGAAAATGGACAGTCAAATAATGTGTTGCAAGATACACCATTTCGTGGACTCAAAATCTTTTTTTATTTATATAGTCTTACATTTTGATGTGGAGATGATCAATTAAAGGGTTTTCCAACACCCAAACAAACTTGTACGACGGATTTTTGTGGTGCAACCTTATTTCTACATTTTTAAGGTTGCAACCTTATATGAACATTTTCCTTTTTAATTATTTAAAATCTTATATTTTATTTTTATAATTTATCTAGAGTGATTCAAGTAAAATACTATCAGACCCCTAATTATTATTATTTAGGATTCACCACCCTCAATAACACTTATTTGAAGAATTTTTAGTAGAAAATTTGGTGAGCAGTCGTTTTTATGTAGGAAATTTTGAAAGTTAAACTCGGTCAAAAGTAAAATATAAAAAAGTTATATTAAAATTTTTTAAAAAATATATAAAAATTAATTTATTTATGATTTAAAGAGGCCACATACTCGACCTAAACAATTACAAATACGGTGACTGTAGAAAATAGACTATTGAATAAAATAAACATCACCTGCTGCTCAACAAGCACGTAAAATCCGAAACAGAAGGCAAGCTCCTCCAAACCGAAACCTGCCCTCCTCTTTCTCTTCGAGAAACCCCTTCCACCTTACCATAAAACTCCCCCCTTTCCCTCTCTGGCAAAAAAACCACCATGTAAGCAACAGCTAACCCTGCAATTGTAGAGGCAGCCATGAAAGCGGCAGGAACAGAGAGAAGCTTCGCAGTTAGGGTTCCAAAAACGAAAGCACACAAACTTGTCCCCGAGAGCAAGCCAAAGGCCGATGTTCGAACCCCTACCGGTACACAATCCGCCTGTGTAAAAGAGTTTTGAGCTCGGGGACCATAGCGATTAAGGTTTTGAGGCCAGGGAATTTTAGAGAGAGAGAGAGAAGGGGACTCACGAGGTAAGTTGTAGAAAGGCACTGGATGCTGCCATCGCAAGCCATAGCAGTTAGGGTTTTGAGGACGAAGTAGCAGTAGACGAAGGGCTTGGACCGGCCATACGCAAGAACCGCTGTTACAAAGAAGAGAGAGCACATTGTTAATGTTTTTCAATCCATCATTTCCTTCCATGGCCATGGATTGAAGTCTGTGGCCGGGGATGTTTTCCTGCAATCGACTGTGATTTTTGGTGCACGGCTCTCAACAGGAGCACGTACCATTAACGCAACATGTGCGTGGTTCATGATCCTTTGCTGATGTGCCGAACCAGTTGCTTCTATGGTAGAACCGGCACATACTGGATCCACCTTAATTTTTTTTTGCGTATCTTTTAAATCTACCTGAACCGGCCGGTTCAAACCGGTTCTAAGACAAAAGTCACAAAACGATTGGTTCTGTGGGAGAACCAATCCAACTGATTTTTTTAAATTTTAAGTTTGGTAAACCAAATCGTCGATCTAGATCGCCAATCTGTCGAACCACATAAATAATTGGAAGAACTATATGAGTCACCGTTCCATTATTTTTAAAAAAGTATCTCGTCCACGTGATGTCGAGAGGACCCTTCGAGTGGTTGAGATCACATATGGTCATATCCAAGAGCCAAAAGTTCGTTTTGTATTTTATTTTTTATTTTTTATTTTTTATTTAAATAAGATAGCTATCTGAATTTTGGAGTGTAGGTATATTTTTATAAATGTAACTAAACAATCATAATTAAAAAATATTTTCAATAAAAAAGACATCTAAATTTATTTGGATCAGTATTTTTATTCAAAATATTTATTGTATTAATTTTACTCAATTTTACTTATAAAAATGAACTTAAAACTAAAATTTTATATCAATTGATTTTTAAATTAAAAATTTAAAATAAAAAGGAGATTCAATATTGGCCTTTGGATGAGCATGTTCAATCTAAACCATCAAAATGTGCCTGTGCTCCTTTTGAGCGTCCACGGCATCAACGCTTTTTCAAAACCTTGATATCAACCGTGTTTCATTGTACACTACTATTTTAGGGCGGTGAGAGGCTTGGAGGAAGGAGAGATTCTTTGTAAAGAAAATTGTTTCACGCGGGCTGGACCGCATTTCTACCAATGTAGTCCAGAAAATGTAAAGAATCCATCTAAGATGGATGCAAGTAGGTTTTCCATTTAAAAACAATGGGAATTAATGGTTTAAATGTTTTTTTATTAGAATTATTATTTTTAATTTTTAAAATTTATTTATTTATTTTATATTCATGATATTCATGTTAGAGATAACATGTCTTCAAAAATTAAGTCTTAAAATCCATCTAAAAAATAGATTTATTAAGAGACCCGCATTTCTATATATGCGGGCTTAGCCGAAAAATACATATATCTAATACATGGAGGCCACAATGAACCTTGACCCTTGGATTATAGTACATGTGCATAAGAGCATATTGGATTGCCCTTTTTTAAACTATTTATGAATAGATTGGTATCTTATTTGGGGTCTTATATTTTATTTTAAAAAAAGTATACAATGAGATCATTTATCTTTGGTACAAGGTGGTCACAATTAATCTTGACTATGAGATGTCAAATTAGATAGATGATTTTTTGCTATTGACGAAGCTCAAACTTCAAAGAAAATTTCTTGAATTTTGTAACATACTCAAGCTATCAGATTTCACATCGGATGTTTGTAAGCAATTGTGACCACCTTGTATCAAATACAAATAATTGCAAAAAGATTTTGGATCCAAAATTTTATCCTTGGACAGAGTTTAGTAAGTAATACCTAATTTTATTGTTTAAAGTTATGTAAACCATGGCTTTGTAAAAAAAGTATTTGGTAACTAAATGGATTAAAATCTTGAGGTAAAATCTTAAATTGATTTTTTAAAAAAATTTAGTTGAGAATTTGGGAATTACTTATGGGGGCATTCAGGAGCTGGAAGCTAGAATTAGAATTAGAAATTTCCAATTCCAAAATCTAGAAAGCGGAAGTAAGTTTATGATAATTGAAAAAATCTCAGGTAGTATGCATGAAATTTCGGGAATTCCAAAAAAATTATGTTTGGTTTAAGCTAGAATTTCATCAATCATGAGATGTTATTAACCAATTGTTCAAAGAAGTTTTCGTAAATGGCATGGCGATGTCTATAAAATTGTGTGAGATTTCAAAATTATAGCTCTTTCATGGTAAGTCTAACAAAATAGAAGGTTTAGATTTACACAAAAAGCAAAAAAAACTTGCATGAGTTGCGAGCACATCTAAGTCGTCAATTTTATTTATGTTTATAGACAGTAAATTGAGGTAAATTTTTAAATATCTATACTTTCACAGGAAGTTAAGAGTATGCTTAAGTATTTCAATTTTATTTATTTTTATATGGATTGACTTGAGATGAAATTTTGGGTGTTTAAACTCTTCACTGTATAAATTTGTTAAAAAAGAATGCAAATTATATTTAAAAAAAAAAAGAATGATTGAAACACCATTGAAACTTCATAATATAGTTAACCTAAAATTTATTGATCTCAACCGTCAAATATTTGATTAGACAATCCAGAGCATGTTCTAAGAATTCAAATTTAATTTTTCGTATACATTGGATTGATCTAAACTTTGAACGTCTACGTATCTAAATACCACATACCTACAAAATATTTTACAAATAATAAATTATCAAAAAAGTTATTTATTTTATTTTATATTTATTTATTTTTATATTTTTCACATATGTGCTCCAACAAAAGCGCACACTACCTCCAAATTTCATCTCGATGCAGCTTAAAAAAAACATTTAAAACTTTGTGCCATGTTTTCAGAATGACAAAAGCGTTCATATTTCTTTTTTTTGGGTAATTTATTCTTCAAGGAGTGACGTAGGATGACTTCACGCAGCAAATTTTCTTAAGTCCGATGTTCAGGGATATGCTCGATTTACCTTTTTTTTTTGAAACTTTAAATTTTTATAATTAAAAATAAAAATGTATTTTAAAGTTATCGCAAAGATTTTTAGTATTGAAACTACATTTCTTGATAGTATTTAAAGGTATGCTTTATTTTGATTGTTTAGAGCCTCGGCTCTATACAAACTGCACCCCTAAACCAAAAAGATTGGTTTCAGCTCATAAGGCTTGCTCTTTCTTTCCATAATGGGTGCGTAATAGCTATTTCAACGTTAGAGCAAAAGTTGATGTATCATGTCATGATTGTCTATAAAATAAATATCTTTTAACTTTGGGATTGTATACAATGAGATCATTTAACTTTGATACGAGGTGGTCACAATTACTTACAATCATCCGATGTGAAATTTGATAGCTTCAATGTGTCATAAAGTTCGAAAAAATTTATTTTGAAGTTTGAACTTGGTCAATAGAATAATTGCAGCCACCCAATTTTACATCCAATGGTCAAGATTAATGTGATCACCATGTACCAAATGTAAATGATCTTCCGTTTAACTTTTTTTCAAGGAAAAGTATCCCGCCCACATCATGCCGAATGGTTGAGATCTCATATGGCCAATTTCCAAAGGCCAAAAATTAGTCTCGTATTTTATTTTATTTATTTTTATTTAAATAAAAAATTAATTGAATTTTGGTGTAGATGTTTTTTTACAAATATAATTAAATAAAAATAATTTAAAATATTGAAAATGCCTCTAAATTTATTTTGGACAATATTCTTTATTCAAAATAGTTTGTTATTAATTTTATTCAATGTTACTTATTAAAATAAACCTAAAACCAAAATTTCAAATTAATATCATTTTTAAGTAAAAATAAAAAATAAAAAACAAGATTCATTATTGACCCTTGGATGAGCATGGTTCAATCTGATCTCAAATGACGAAATCATTATTAAAATCACATTTCATATGAATTGGGTCTATTCCTAAACATTAGACTTGAAATTTGCTGCTTCGACTCGGCCAATATCATGGGGGTATCGTGGAATTCTTCTCTCTACGTGGACCATTTGGTAGTCCCCCCTTGACATCACTCATGTTAGCTTATGCTTTCACATGTTGGCTGAGATATTTTGAACTTAGTTCGGATAAAGGTTTTAAAAAACCTATTCGTTCCAATTTTTTATCTGGTTCGATGGATCGGTGATTCAGATTGACAATCCAGTATACCAAATAAAAAATAAAATAAAAGTGACGTCAGTTCTGTTTAACTCTATGACAGAACTGGCCAGTTTTGTCATAAAATCAGAGATAATTGGCCCAAACCAGCCAATTCTTGTTATTAAAAAATAATAAAAAAGTGGGGTTGGTTCTAACCTCGATCTGACAAAACCGACTGGTTCTATCAAAGAACTAGCTAGAACCAGCCAATTGATGGCGGTATTTGGTTGGTTCCCAATTTACAGAATCCAGATCCGCCTGATTGGTTTCCCGATTAGTTTCGATCTGAATAACCAATTTTTTTAGAAGTAGTTAAAAAGTCCCTCTCAAAGGGTCAAAGTTCTACTTTCATTCTAGTGGACATCTTCATGCATGAGTCTTTCAATTGAAAAAAAAAGTTGTTATTTCATTGTAGTGGACATATTCATGCATGAGGCCTTCAATGGAAAAAAAAATGTTCCTCTTTCATTGTAGTGGACATTTTTATGTTTTAGTCCTTCAATGAAAAAAAGAAGAAGATGACAGATTTGGTCCTGAGAAACACCCACAAAACATCTGATTCTACACATATAAACACACTTCGAGTGCGTGACACTTGTCATTCAATAAGAGCATGACTTCATTTCGATGGTGAGCATATTATACACCACTCGAAAAAGCACCTCGAGTTTTCTTGATGCCACTCAAATCAAACTCTTCACTTACCCAAAAAAAAAATCAACTTCTTCTTATATTTTTTCAATTTTATTTTTCATTGATAAATGAAAATCGAGGGAAGAAGATAGATTTGCGTAGGGGAGATACGTAAAATACATGCAAAGTTCATCATATTTTTCAACATCTCTCTAATTGAAATCTTCCAAATTCAAGAAATTTTTCAACATCTCTCAAATGGAAATCTTCCAAATTCAAGAAAATTTTCAACATCTCTCAAATGGAAATCTTCCAAATTCAAAAAAGAAAAACAAATGATAAAAACAATTTCGATGAGAGATGCCTATCTCTCCCATGATCATTGTGCTCTATCTATACTTGTTCGATAATTTCGTAATATAGAATTTAAAATTTTATATTTTCCATTTCGTGCTTGATACACTTGAATACACATGTAATGTGTGTTCGACTAATGCGGTTAACTTTTCAAAACCTCGCCTACACCCTTTTTCACAAATTTCAGTTTTTGTTTTGACCAAAATGACCTTCACGGTAGTTTTTTTTACCGTAATACATTTTAAGCTTTACGGTAATTAAAACACCATAAAAACTTTAAAGAGTATTATGGTAATTTAAATACGGTAATCGTTGAATTATTATGACGGTAATTTAATTACCGTAATGTGTGGGGAAGTCTTTACGAAATTCTTATTATTGTAATACTTTCCCGGTCAATTCCAAATCCTTATTGGTTGAAAAGCTTCAAACCGAAGCTAATATCAGGGCTACCCCTCTCCTCCCTTCACAGTAGTCTTCTTCGAAGCTGTATTTTTCAAAAAATTCATGTTCCCATAGGAGCACGATGTGGATCTATTCTCTCGCTAAAAAACACCTATTTAAAAATGTTTTCTTTCCAAAATTTTGAGAACCAAATAAAAATTACTAATTTATTTTTGAAAGAATTCAATTGTGAGTTCTGTGACACTTAAATCTAGCTCTTTGAAAATTGGATAGTTTCTATTCAATCTTGAAGTGTTAGGTTTTTCTAATATACAGAATAATTTTCTTGAAAATTTCTTTTGCTGAAATTATTCTATAAGTAGCAGAGATTATATCCTAAACATTTGAGATTTGAAAAATACAACTAGCATGGATTTTTATCGAGGGAGTAAATAGATAGTAGACTCCTGCGAGAGTAGAAAATCTTTTGTGTTCTTTTAATGAGGCGTGGGCAATGTTACAGTAATTAAATTACTGTAATAGTACTTTAAGGTATTATGGTATTTTAATTACCGTAATACTCCTTCAACTTATTACGGTATTTAAATTACCGTAATGTCATTACGGTAATTAAATTACCGTAATACTAATTTAAGGTAGTACGGTATTTTAATTACCGTAATACTCCTGCAACTTATTACGATATTTAAATTATCATAATGTTCTTTACGGTAAAAAGATTACCGTGAAGGTTATTTTGGTCCAAAAAAAGCCGAAAATTGTGAGAAAAGGTATAAGTGAGGTTTTGAAAAATTGGGTTTTTTTTTTTTTTTCAATTATAGTAAAATATAGGTCTATTAACGATAATTTCCCTAAAAAATACCCTACATTTCGAAGTCCCAAAATTATCCAATTCTATTAAGGGAATATCAAAAGTAAAGTTCAAATACCCTAATTAATCCCATACTTCAATGCTTAGAAGTACATCTATCGCATGCCTCACGTCCTCAACATTCATAGACCCCAAATTCTTCCACGCTAAAATAGAACCAAAAGAATAAAAAGGAGGTGAGAATGTTCATATATATATATATATATATATATATATATATATATATAAGAAGTAAGTTAGTTATAGTGAGAGTAGTAGTCTACGTACTTTAACTTTAACTACTACTACTACGTACCAACTAACGTACGACGTAGGTGGTAGTAGT